CATAACAAGGAAGTCGCTCTTGTGCATGACTTCATCACCATACATCCCTAGCAACTGAGTATCTTCTGTAACTTTTACATTTTTGGTAGGGTTATATTAAAATGTCTTCTGAGACATAGAAATGTCAATCTAGTAGTGGGGTGTGTGTGATTTGTATATGTGGAGAAGAGAACACTCTTAAAATGTTGTATTATCATTAGGGATGTTCGATATTGGGTACTTGAATAGTTGAGTAACCAGGGGCAGGGTCGGCAGTCACTCCTAGGAAGCTCCCTGCCATCCCGGGCTGCTGCTTTTGTATGAGGGACAGCAGCGTGGGGGCCAGGCAGGAGCTGGCCCGCAAGCGGAGACAGTTTAAAAACCAGCTCCCCAGGCAGACCGACTGTCTGCTGTCCCAAGCTTAAACCCATGCACAGACAGAGCCTCTGTCCTGAGTGAGCTGGAGCTTGCCATGGACAGAGGTTGCTCCAGCAGTAGCTCCTGTCTGCAGGGTGTCTGAGCAGGGTGTCCATGGGAGGCGGAGCAGCCTCTGTCCATGGGGAGCTCAGGTATGCTATGGACAGAGGCTGCTTCACTGCAGCTTCCCCTCCCCACCTCCTGTGCTGCTGTCTCTGGGAGAGGCAGCATTGCAGGGGGTGAAGGAGAGCAGATACAGTGCTGGGGGTAACCGGCTTTTAAGCCAGCACCCCCAGCATTGGCTCCTGCTTCTCCTCCCTTAGGGAAGTGTGTGTAGTCGACAAGTTTAACCGATAAGCCTAGGCCTCATCATACAGTCGACTAAATGTTGACATCCCTAGTTATCCTAGATCAAGTCATTGACCGTGCTTACCCCTTCATCCATTGAGGGTCTGGGCTTCATGCATTAGTGTCATTATTTACACTAAACTGCATATGACAGTTTTACATGTGGATAATGGGGAGGGGGCGGCATGCTTTATGAAAATTGGCATATTAATATGTATAACTTGAAGATACTTTAGACAACATACCAATTTTAATGTTACAGTCTGCTGAATGTGTACAGTAATTCCTCATATACGGTAACACTATAGATGCGTTTCTGAAAATGTTCGTGCTAAGCGAAAACATGCTATGTGGTGTCAATTTTCCCATTTAAAAATAATGGAAAAGGTGGGGGTTGCACTTCAGGTGGTGGTGGCAAAGTCAAATTTTGTTGGTGCTGGGTTGTCAACGTCAGCATTAGATATCTAGCAACACAAGTCGCCGGGGTTTGTTAAAACACAAAGATAAACACGTAAGTGAGCGGAGGAGCGCTGTGGCCATGTGTATTCATCCGCTCATGCGTATTACCATTGCTTTTACCAACTTATACCACTGTGCGAAGTAGTCCACCACTTGATTATTTTTGTGTTCTTTCAGGGACGGTCGTGTTATTTGAAAAACATTCCCTAAAAAAAATCGTGCTATTGCGAAAACGTGGTAAGTGGGCACGTGTTAAACGAGTTATTATATATCCTATTTATTTTTATGTATCATTCTTGTTTGTGAAGTTAGAAATCTGATATGTGGATCTATTTATAGTACTAAATGCACTGAGGGCTATTACTGATTTCCACACCCTATTACTGATTTCCACACTTAATGGTTTGGTGATCAAATCAGTGACCTGTGAATAGTCTTGTTTGTCCTGTAAGCCCAAAGTATGGTTGGTCCTAGAAAGACATGTGGCCAGGCTACCTGATGATGAAACCCAGTTTGGTTCCTGTACTTATCCACTTCATGTGAAAAAAGCTTGAACTGAGCACAAAGAGTTTCCATCTTTGGCAAAAGGGATTTGAGGGAGGAAAACAAAAAATAGGGGCTGATGCCAGGAGGACTTCCCCTCCCACCTTACCACCTAAGATGCCTACTGGAAATATCTAAGACTGAACAGGGGAAAGGATAGGGTCCAAGCTAGGAGGCTGCTTAGCTTGTGAAAGATGTTTAGAACAACTGTTTACAGGCCTGTGCTCAGGAATTTCTGGGGAGGAAAGGGGTGCTTTTTTTTTTTTTTCCTGTAAATGTGGACCGCAAGGGTGTGAATGCTCCCTAAGTAAGTTTGCACTGGCAAGCTAGGGAAAGGCAGGACGAGTCTGCTGAATGACCCTCCCTCCCCCATGCTCTGGCCAAGGAACGCTGGGGTTGATTTTTTTTTTTTTTTTTTCCTCCTCTTCCTTTCCCAGGAGTGAGGCCCAGCCCCACCCCCAGCCTTGCTGCTGGGAGGGAGAGGGGGAATCAGCATTTGCACTCTTTGCACATAGAGTTGCCAGATGGTTTCAACAAAAATACCGGACACATTTGACATCACAATCTATATTGCATCTTAGTTAGAAAATACCGGACATTTATATTTTCTCATTTGTTTCCCGAACAGAAAGCTCAAATACTGGCCTGTCTGGTTCAAAACTGGACACCTGGCAACCCTATTTGCACTCTCTTCCTCCCCCCCCCCCCCAAATATGGGCCCGCTAAAGTTAGCATCCCAATTCATGATTCTGCAGTGTGAGTGCAGAGGTTTATTCAGAGACCTCATTGAAGTAGTAGAGCTATAGGCACTATTTGGTTTTCCAAAGTACTGAAGCTAATAGAAGTTACTGGGTTCTCAGCACTTTTGAAAAACAGTGAAAAAATACGTGTCTATAAGGATTTAGAAGCCTAACTTTAATTTCTGATTTTTAAAATTTTGTCTCAAGTTTATCATGACCAACCTGTTTTCAAACTTTCACAAATATGAAAAACTGATGTTAGAAATGATATGTCTTTACATTCTAACTATAAACATTTATTATTTTAAAGAAAATGTCCTCCATTTCAAATTGTCTGTTGGTCTTTCAATTCTTTCCCTTGTTTTAGCCTTTTGATGTTAATTTTAAAGGCCAGTGTCACATTAAACCAATATATTCTTAGTACAAGGAGCATATTGTCTTGACCACAGAGATCTATGATTGGATCGTGGGTATGTTACTTACTGTGCTCCCTGTGTTAATTTAACTTTTCCAAAAGTCTTGCAGCGATGGGTATGGATCTTAAACATACAGCAGTATATCACTGCTCTGCCCTTTATTCTGGTTGCCAATATAATACAGGCTTGGATATGGGAAACCAAAGTTTGAGTTTGAAAAACAAAGGGCCAGACAAGGAGAAATTACACACAGACAAGGAGAAATTACACACACACGCGCACACACACACGCGCACACACACACGCGCACACACGCGCACACACACTAAAATCCTTACATGCCTAAATGCTGTGTATGGTATTGCTTTTAAAGCTATTGTTATAGCTTGCCGTTATTTCCCCGTGAAAATCTGTATCATTTTACACCAATGCAAATACAATTTTAAAATATTATAATTATATGCAAATAAATGTCATTTACTTGTGTCACTCTTATTAGGAATAAAGAAAATGTAAAGTCCTGTTTAAAGGTGACTTGGAAGGGGGGGGAACAAGCAGAGTTTGTGTCTTTGTAGCTGCTTTTAGATGTATAAATTATCACTTTTCCATTTTCAAATGAATTTCTCATGTAATAAGCCAGGAGGAAATCCCAAGTCCTGCCTAGGATGGGTGACCAAGTGACACGGTGATATCAAAAGTGCTAAGAGAAGGACAAGTGAGCAACTGAAAAGGGAGATTTTTTTTTTTTGTCAGACTGATTGAAGCAGTTGGCCTCAAACACTAGAGACCAGGTTTAAACCTACTTTTTGAGAGACACCTTGTGCAGCTAACACCTAGCTTCAAGGAATAAGATCTGAGCTAGCCAATTGGGCATGTGGAAGGTGTGGGGGGGGGGGGTTCCTCTCCTGGAAGGAGCCTGTACTTGCACTCCAACCACTCAACTTTCTAGTGTCAATACAAACTTCTGCACAGGGAAGCCCACAGCCGCTTCCCAAGCCTGAGGGGATGCCCCCAGCCACCTCCAAGTTACCTCAGAGCCTGCAGAAGTTGCATTCTCGCATGCCGTGCATGCTGTCCCCTCTGTAGCTGGAGCTGGCTACAGAGGAACACATGCGCTGGAAATACTGGAAATCTTATTGCAGCTCTCCCATGACAGTCAGGCCCTGCTGCAATAAAAGCTCTTGAGGAGGGAAGGAATTGTCCCCAACTTTCTGCTGGCTGGCTGGAGCATGAGGGAGGGAGGATGATGTAGAGCATCTTCTCTGCTTTCCCTGGCTGGCTAGAATCAGGAGCAGGAGGAATTGGGGGGGGGGGGGCATTCACACCCTCCCTTCTCTGTGTACGGGCCTGGTTTAGAGTAAGAATTTGCATTCAACAAGTTCCTTAGTGGAATAGGATTAGCTGGAGTCTTTTATTTCAACTTAGTAATTTACTTTGATCTCACTGTTTCTCTTGCAGCCACTTAAATCCTACTTTTTGTACTTAATAAACAAAAGTGTTTTTACTATCAAGCCCACTGTAAATAATTGTTGGGGGGGAAGGGGAAGAGGGGAGAGGCGGAAGCAATCACTGTGCATATCTCTCCCTTTCATTGATAAAGGGGATGGACCTTCAACAGAGAACTTTTACACAAAGCAAGATGGATTTGTTTTGGTCCCTTTTTGGGGATTGATTTCCTGGGTGCTGAGTTTACCCCCTAATTAATAGATCCATATCTCTCTCTTCTAGATAAATATTATGAAATTGAGGAAAAAACCCAAATACATGCTTTGTCTCTCCCTTGATTTTTTTTTCTTTTCATTTTCACTTTTCTTTCCTTTTACTTATTTTCTTTTATCTCCCACCTCCTTTTTTTGGCCTGAAAAAATGAGCTTTTTTTGTCTTTCCCCTCCCTTTTTACAGACCTATTTTTTGAGGAGTTAAGCCTGTTAAACTTCCACTGTTATCAACAGGAGCTAAAGACACGGAATCAAGCCCAAGGGCAGTGACACCTTCCTCTTCAGTGTCTCTCTTAGTATCCACCTTCTGTTGGTTACTCTGCCTCCTTTCCTCTGTTGTCTTTACCTACTTTCTTGTCTGTTTTTCTTTCTGTACTGACCTTTTTGCTCATATACCTTTTCTTCTGTCCTTGGCAGCAGAGAAGGATCATACTTTGTGCTTCCTCTCCTCAGGCTTTCATGGTGGAAGTGGCAGCCAGAACAGAAAGAAAAGATGACCACAAAGATTTAGTCAATTTTCACGCTGCTCCTCCTGAAGATTTAGAGGAGAGACCAGCAACAGCACATGTAAATATCCAATGGGTGGTATGTCTGATTTTGGTGGCAAACTTTGAAAGGTTTCATTACAATCCTGCTGTGGAATGGGATGGAA